GTAGGTGAATACTCTCACGACTGCTCAAAGGAGTATCTATTGGCGATGATAGGAATAGACTACAGAGATATATAATCATATCACAACGCCGCTGTCGAATCCTTGTCCCTTGAAAATTATACTGATCACCGTGTGTTTCAGTCTGCACGTATAAACAAATTGATCACCGACAGCGAAACGGCTGAGCCTCAATTGACTTGACGAACTTCTTTGATCCCCTACACTACCTTGTTCTTACCAACAGAATTGTAATGCCCATAAAACGAAACATTTCCGTCTAGACACAGGAAACAATTCAACGCAATCGTAATAAAACGACCCAGATGGGCCACTTAACTCTTCTGAATAGTTTACCAAGCTTTGTTGGATCATTCACAGTCAAACATCATATTTCAACAAAATCAAAACAAGATTCAACGTGATAAAATCTGTATAAGTATTAGAAAATAACAATTTATACGAAAATTCAAATTCATCTTAACAATGCCAATGAGCAATTTTACAGGATATAATTTCTCTATTACACAACACATACTAAGCAGCAAAATGTTTCAACCCTATACAACTAGTAAATACCCGTGATCCAAAAAGAATATTCAAGACCGAAACAGGACCAACACTCTGGTGGAGTGGAACAGTCACTTCGCAGTTAAACCTTGAGCTCAGTCAAACAAAATATCTTGTATGGTATGACGCCGTATCAGTCAATAATAACAAAATAGAACATATGACATGCTGTGTAAAAAACTTCAACTCCAACTGCTTTCGCTTCTTAAATCTTTCAAACTAACATATGTAATCAGTTTATGGATTATTGTTCGCACTCGTCCAGGTTGTGAACCAACACACAGTATGGGTGTCAGTATACATACAAAAATAATTACATATAATTGTGATTGTATAGCTAAGTGAATGAATTCGCCGAAAAGAGACTCTTCACTGAACTGTTTGTTGTTAAGTTCACGTCTGGATGGGTATATTTCGTGAATTTCTTGTTTTACGCGGAATTTTTTTATATGGTGACTACACTGAAATATGCAACAGAATCGGATAGTGAGTTAGCTGTTGTTCAACCTATCCCGCGATAAGTCATCTGAAACTAATCTAAGTACATCACGGTAATACAATTATCAAGGTAGTTTAATAGAAAGTAAGATCACAGTTTTTGTTCAGCGAGGAAATTTCTTTTCAACGACTTCATTTTCTTCGCTGAACAAAAAACTTTGTTTTTACTTATGAATAAATGGGTATTTTTCGAGAAAGTAGGATCACTAAATAACGAACAACCAATCGGTCTTTTCAGTTTACTTCATCCTTTAAGTTTCTAGCGATTAAACCTCTACTAAACTTGCATTTTTAACTATGTATGCGAAGCAAACTACAACTTTCCAACTTGTTTATTCAGGTTTAGACTTCAGTCTGAGTATATATATATATGTATATATATATATATATCCAGGATTCAACTCCGGTTGTTCTTATTCTCATATAGGAAACTGATCTCTGTGTCCATAAAGAACGCATCTCAAAACGTCAGATTCCTAGTAACAAATTTACTCAAAGACAGGGTTTGAGGGAACCTGTAATCCAACTCGTCAAAACAAATGAATTCACAAAACATTGCGTAATGCTTGTGAAGTACATGTGTGAAAGCAAGAGACCATGGCTCATTCTAATATCGATGCTCGAAAATGCAAGAAGAAATAGAAACTCGGATACCGCCATATATAACACGATCTACTATTGTAGCATAGAACGGAGAGACACTACTGAATCTTTACCAGTCTAGTCAATGATCAACAGGTGACACAGCCGCCGCGCAAAACTTTGAAAAACCTTAGGGTTAGTTTGTAGGGATTTGATTGGTTTAAAGCCTGATCACGAAATGATATTAGTTAAAGAACCATAGAGTATTGGACGACTGCTTCGCCCAGCTTTGGTACTCTTCAGTAGTATGCACCTATGAGAACACCAGCGCTAGGGATCGAATCCAGAAGCTTCAGGTTACAAGACCAGTTTAGTGTCAATAAAGATGAAAGCATGATTGTGGCGTGTGCCGCTGATAAGATTTATCAGTAGTATATAAAGAGATGTTCATCGGCATAAAAAATATCAAATACCGGAGAGATAGATTTGACGTCAAATAGAGCGAAATATTCAGCGTTGCGGCAAAACCTGGGAGACAAGGAAAGAAGACAAAAAACACAGTACGAAGAGCAGAAGTAGCACAACACGGAGGATCTATGCAAATGGTGTGTTGAAGATAAGGTGCACATAATTTCGCTTTATAGAGATACCAAATAAACATTCCTATACCAAGTTTCTCTTCTAGAATAAACTAGAGAACTATAAAGAAACCTGAATGTTACATGATGCCTTTGATATAATTATGAGCAATAATTTTGCTCGAAGAGCCTACCAGTAAGTAACATTCATATAATTCCAAGCGCTAATGGTGTTTCGCAACATCAAGTCAGTGTGGAAATAAGGATAAAGATTAAAATCGAATAACGGGAAATTTGGATGTTTAATAAATGAGTATGCACTATCAGTTCGGTACGGCGCTTAACCCGACTTAAAGTGATGCAATATGACTTTGCTCTTCAAGCCTACATTGCTGACTAGCTCCGACTCAACGATCAGAAACAACTGTGTAGTGTCTGGGTCGTGACCAGCGAACCCTACTTGTTTGTGTAATTCGTTTCCAACTACTCAAATTACTGATAAGTAATATGTACGTGTTTTCACAAACTGTCTAGGTGCAGACGAAACAAACACCAGTAGAACTTCAGCCCACAGTGTTTTGTCAAAGAAATCTTGTTAAACACACAACAAATACCATTTTTGCTCTTCTGAAAACATCTATAAACTATAAGAAACAGATATCTCTTTTTGCAGTCAATTTTACCCAACCTTACTTATTAATCAGGACTTTCTACGACTGTTGACACAACGTTGATTTTAACTATTAGTGGCTTTCACTGCATTATGGATGGTTAATATGAAAACACGTTTCACATTAAGGCATACAGTACATCATGAAGCTGTGTTATTTGCATTAGACATTGTTTCAGACAGTCAATCGATCACGAATAGCCAAAAATAATCATGTCCATCAGGATCAATATACAGAAGCAACAATAAAAGCCAGGGGACTACACATTAGAGAATATTATGGGCAGCTTAGTTACTTCAAGAACAGACAAGCCTGATTTTAACAGAAAAAAAAGTAACATGAATTAACGATATACCACGTTTTATAGACAAGAATATGCAGTCAAATCCTATGAAACGTGACTTATCATCCGTACGCAAGAAAACACTGTACATGAGCTTGGAATTAAAAGGTGACTTGGCTTCCGATATCATGAAAAGTCATTGAAAAGAACATTCCCTGCTGCATCTCTGAGAATAGTCTTTACCAGTCGACCATTACTCTTCAATAACCTGAAGGACAAGATCCCGCAGGTGATAAACCCTATGTGTGTTTATCAATTCACCTGCTCGTGTGGAGCTAGGTATATCGGTCGTTCGACTCAAGTTTTGTCCAAAAGGGTGCAAGAACACTATCCTGCATAGTTACGAAGAGGTGAAAGTGGAGCAATAAGAAGCGCGATCATTGAACATCTGGTCAATAATGATCACTCTATCTCTATAGCCTCCGCCTTTAAAGTCATCTACAAGGCAAAAAGTAATTTACCGAAATCACTACGTACCCGACACATGTGTATTGCTGAAGCTTTGGCTATCGAAACAGAAAAGCCAGATCTCTGTATACAAAGAAAGTTCGTTCAACCCCTCCAATTTTCATGGTTTTAATCCTTCTATGCTAAAGTATGGTAATCCCAAATCATATTTTGGCTCTGCCAATTTCTTCGTTTTGTCTATTCCATTTGTATACTCTTCCTTTATTACGTCAATTGTTACTATTACTATTCTCACTATGAACTGTCCCCGGTATTATTTCACTTGTCGTTCTAAATCAACGTTAAATTCTGTGTTATCAAATTTCACACAGTGTTGCATAACGTTTTTATTTTATTCGATTTGCCTACTAATCCTATAATTGCACACCCCCTCCAAGTTCTATCCATCCTATGAACTATTCTGTGTATGACATTAATTGTTTTGCCACTTGACATTTAACTATGATTATAATCACAAACACTTTAATTGCATTTCATACTACTATTATTATTTTATGCATTCACACCTATGATTCAATTCCCTCACCGGATATAATTTCTTAAAAACTGCATATGCACATATACGATTGTACAGTTTGATAATAAATTCGTTGACAGGTGTCTCTTTGCTGAATCTCTTGTTTTGATTTTTAAATATTCTGACGATGTACATCAAATAATGATGATATGTTGTCAAAATAAGTAAACAATTGACAACTAACTACTTTTCCCAACACAGTGTGATTACGAGATCACATGTATATATGGTAGGGGTCCTCGGGACGGTAAAAACCAATGGTTGGAAACAATTGGTGACATGGCTCAAAATCGTTCTCAATGGCCGGCGCAGATGCATCCACTCCTTGTGACTGATGATTTCTAATGAAACTGTTTTGTTCTTCGTTATTACTATTCCTTTGTCTCACACCTCTGTTTACTGTCTATATTATTGTGCATTTCTCCTAATTTCTTCTCTTGCTTTGTGTGCTACATGGAGTGTGGCGACTTGAACTGCAGCACATATGTGCAAAGTTCTATGTCGAAAACAGACAGACAGATGTACGACACAACTGGAGATAAAAAAATACCTATTTGAATGAACATTTTATTTGCATTTCAATAATAAGTACAACAAGACATAAAAGTTAGGTGGTAAACTCAAAGTATACACAATATTAATATTAGCATTATTATTTTCTTTTTGGACAATGAAAATATTATTGCAAGTGAAATTAGTAGAAAAAACAAGAAACATCAATAACAGAATCATTTTTTTCTTTCTTTTGTAGTGTTGTTATACACCATTCTAATATATCACTTTTCAATACGAGGTAATTTTGAACTTGGTTCTGAAGCCGTATCATCATCATCCTTATTATTATTATCATCGTTATTAGAGGCAGATGAAATTTTAGAATGATCATCATTGGGAGAATTTTTTTCAATAAATATCGTTGGAAAAACTAATAAGATACAAGTTACATTGTCCCCAGACATACGAAGTACAGCTTCATTAACCAAATGTGTACACACTGAATCCAAATGACGTTGTGATAAAATTTCAGATAATTTCAGGGTAGACTATTTGTAATATTATGATAGAAACAATAAACAGAGAGATAGAGAGAGAATATGATACAGCTCTTAAAGATAATCAAGTACTAGAGAAGATTTGTAGCTCAGGTGGATGAGTTGCAATTAGTTGCGTCCTCTGAACTGGTTGGTTTAATTGCGGAGCTTTCGTCGTCCTTCTGGATAACATCTTCAGCGCAAGGTTTAGCATAAAATGAACTGGTTTAAATTCTGCATGAATGATACAATTGCGTCCCCTGGTAACACCATGTTCGTGACTGGTAGTCGACTTACATCTGTATTGATCACTTTTTTACTGACTTGAATTTTCTCGTCCCCCAGAAGGATGACGAAAGCTCTACAATTAAAGCAACCAGCTCAGCGAACACAACTAATTGCAGATAATGGAGTACAGTACGAACTTACCAAGATTGCTGTGTCATAGGCTAAAATGAAGCCACCTTACTTTAATGGGTTAAAAAGAGTTAACTGAAAAGAAATATTCCTTGAATGATATCCAGACTGCAACAAATTCCTTCGGGTTACAAGAGTGTATATCTCTGAAACACGTATTGATATGAATACTGAAAAAAAACTTGTTACATAAAATATTAAACACTATACTAGATTAATTGGTAGATGGTGACTAGAAGTGGAATCCAGGATAACGTGCATTTCGTTATATCTAGGGCTCGTCAACCGGATGTACCTGCATTCCCCAGTGAGTCAGTGATGGTGTTCCCACCGAGGCTCGAACCCAGTGCCCATAGTTTCAAACGCCAAAGCGTTATCCACTAGACCACTTGGGCCACGACAGCCACCTCTTGTGCAACGGATCAATTTTAGAGTTTCCCGTCGATTGATTGGACCGAAGTGCTCAGTCTTAGAGTTTGACATGTCGACTTCTTGTGTAGATGCTTCGATGATGTCTGGGCATGTAATTAGAAGTTAATTTCGGTCCAATCAATCGACGGAAAAACCTAAAATTGAATTAAATAACTATGCTAGATTGACTACTACGAATATATCACAAAAAAGTATTGTGTAAGTAAATTTGTAGAACTAAAGCAGACGTATACATTCATGACTGCTAACTTGATGCAGTGGTCGAAATTATCCACTATACGACGAATTGAGACGAGATCGAAATAAAGTCTTTGATTAAAATACATTTGTGTAGTACTATGAATATGGTTACAATATAATAAAGATGGAATACACTATAGCGGTATATAATTCTCCAAAACTATTCGCCTACAATACTTATCATTCAACACACTGGGTGCCAATCTTCAATGTTTAAGTTGAAGGTACGTGGTCGACCGTCCACGATACTTGGCACACTGTCATGTTACATTGAATTGTTGATGCACGATTTCCAACTAGCTAAACAGACATCAGTGCCCTACGATTTTGATCCCGATATATATATATATATATATCGTATCTTGAACGATCAATCGATCTGTTGTTCTAATTTGGCTTCCGAAGACTTCTCTGATGATAGAGCACAAATACATTGGGGACTTATCAGGTAAGTGTATTCTATATACCCGTCGACATCCTACATCTTTTACAAACATCACTTCGACCGATAATAAACCATGTCATAAAATCTTAAACCACGGGTTGTAGAAATTTTGGGTATAAAAAACATATGTCCTGCACTTCTCTACATGGCTGCATCAACATTCAGGGTTTTCATACATTGATATTGCCCTTAAATGGTAGTTAACTTTTTTTTGTTTTGACTTAAAATATATTTGCCGAGAAAAATGACACACGCTGATGATACCCACGGTAGACTATGTTAGATACTTATTCAAAAAAAATATATTAGACGCTGAAACAGTGACTTTGATTGAAAAGTGAATCTAAATGATTAGAAGATAATAACTGAGCTCCAATTAACTGACTAACGCGTTTTGTGGATACTTGAACTGATACACGTTAATGCAAAGTTCTACACAGACTTAGTCCAAACTTCATTTTTCCTTTAAAAGACATTCATCTTTAACTGAACGGAATATCAACTTCTAAGAACACAAATTATTCTCAGTAAATAGACAGCTGATAAAACTGAAGGCCTTTGTTATCCACCAGAACTGGTACCATGTCTCTTTGTAGCCCCACAAATCACTTCTATAGGTAAAACCCGGAGAAAGAAATTGATTGGCCCACATTGGTTGACTGTGTCACTGAGAGAGTGGTAAGTTTCTCTATTAAGTTCAAATGGCAGTCTGATGTAACATCAAGGACATTTTCCAGCAAAAATAATCAATATTGTTAGATTACAGTAGGTTTACTAAAATGTGATTAAAGGATATTGATGATTATTCATTGCCACAGCTTCATTTACTACTGGTAATAGTATGCAGTATGCATTACTTTTCCCCTTAACTAAATGTATAAATGTAATTCATACGAACAACGATAAACAAAGAATATTTTTACTAAGACTTCACTACTAATACATCGCCAACTACTAAATTCACAGGTGAATCTACAGCCACATCATATACATTAGTACGCCTCATAAAGAATGAGTTTTCGAAAGAAAGGAACTAAAAAGCTGTGCAGTCTTCTTTGGTTTTCAAAAATACTCGAAAAGAAGTTCAATTCGTGATGAAAACTACACTGGAAAATTATAATGAGGCAAGTGAAATGTGATGTAACTTCTTTACAAATCACGAAAATCAACATTAAAAAGCTTTCGACTGAAAACAAAAGACAACAAATTGTCAGAACATAAGAATTTAGCTAAGGTTAGAATGATTGACCCTACGAAGATAAGTAACTTAGAAAAAAGCTCAGCAATAGCACTGCATGCACTAAGACACAACTACACAATAGGGTGGGAGAGGGTTAAGATTCTAAGAAGTAATATAGGTAGATAGAGGTTGATTGCTGAATCTTTGTTCATAGAATCTACACCCAACACATGCAATAGGAATGACTCATCACTCATACCGGAAATATGGAAAATACTACTACCAATCAAGCCAAGCGATAAAAAAACAATAAACGAAGCTAGAAAGTTGTGTGAGGAGTACCTTGATTTGATTATGAGCAATAAATTGTGCTCGGAACGTTGCCATCAGTAAATATCACTGTATAACACTGTGAGACTTTATCAAAGGAAAAGACAACAAACTTTAATCATGAAAATAGTACAAACAACGAACTCAACAGAATAACGTGATACCGTATTTTATCTAATGTCACACAAACTCGAAAATCGACAGTAAAAAAAGTCAACAAGTTGACAGAAGAAGCAGCGAAGACAAAACTTCAAGTGAACATAGAGAAGACAGAGGTGACTGAGATACCTGGCCAACAACAACAAGATACAATCACTGTCAACGGGAGAAATTGGAAGGAAATCACCTCTTCCACTTAATTAGGCAGCATCGTTTCAACGACAGACGGCACGGATAAAGATGTCAAAGCCGGAATCGGAAAGGCAAGATAGACATTCATCACTCTGAAGATAGTATGGAAATCTACGGCGCTCAGCATACAGAACAAGAGTGGGATTTCCAACAGTAGTGTCAAGTCAGTCAGCGCTTCTAAACAGTTCAAAGTCTTGGCACGCGCGTCATGAAGAGCATTTTCAACAGGCTGTAGACTTTTATCAACAGATATGCCTCTGTTGCATAAAGATTAGACGGCCAAAAAGGATTAACGGTAACGAACTCTGGCAAGGAATCGACCTAGAACCCATTGTTCAACAAATATGCCAGAGGAAATGGAGACGGATCAGACACATGCTGAGAAGACCGTTGAATGACATCGCGCCGCAGGCCACGGAGTGGAACCCGAATGAGAAACGGCGAGCCGGGAGTCCAAGGATGACACGGAGCAGATCGTGCTGGGAGGAGAAGAGAGCTTATGAGTGGTCATAGGGCCTGTTAAAGAGGAATGAAGAGAACGGGGCGAAATGGAGATGTGCTGTTGAAGCTATATGTTCCCCTCGGAACCCAAAAGAATAATAACAATATAATGTAGAGTATTTAGCTGAAGACATCTACCGAAATTGATGAATGCATTAAATCCTGTTTTTATTAACGATGTAAAACAAAATTCAATATCAATAAGTATTTACACACGTTACTGGATAAACTTGAAAGCAGGATTCAGTGGTATACTATTTAATTGAATGTACGAAGAGTTGAATGTATAGAAATACAAGTGTTATTAAGCTCGTTGGTATATATATATATATATAAATTATATATAAATTACAAGAATATTTAAGTCACCTTGTTTCAACTACTTCAAATCATGTAAATGTGAATCTAAAGTAACAGAATACTGTTAATCTCATATCTTTATTAATGGTCCGAATTTCGCGTCTGACTCTCAAAATATTCTAGTAACTTTTTCAATATATATCAACAAGGTTTCAAGTATTGGTTTGTAGGGGATTTGATTGATTAGTTACAGGATTTCATCATGAGCTGACATCGGTTAGAGAACCATTGGAAAACCACCTGGGAGTACTGGACAGCTGTTTCGTCAACCTGGTTTGGGACTCTTCATCAGTACGCACCCACACTGCGGGGTTCGAACCCAGGACTTTCCGCTTACAAGGCGAGCTAGCTCGTAGACCTGATCCAATCGCCAGACCATGAATTCTAACATCTGCCAATTCACGACATAGCGCGACCGCTAGCCAACAAGCTTAATAACACCTGTAATTCTATCTGTCCAACTCTTTGTGTATTCAACTACGCAATACTAAGGGACTTCTATCTTCACACTGACTGAATACAATGCGTAAATACATCGTATATTGATCCTAAAACTAATTTAGCTTGTATACAGTTGATAAAAAAACCAACTAAATAATATATCATATCATAGTACCCTGCTCAATTTATTCTTCTCCCTTTCTTCAAAGCTGATTTTAAGGGAGGTGAAAAAAATGTATAAAACAGACTCTCTGATTACCTGACCATTTTGTGAATTCAAATGTTCTTTTTTATAATTTTCAATTTCCTTCATTAAAAGTTGATGAGTAAGACAGACAGCTTCATTTGGTGGAAAGCTTTTCCAAAGACCATCACAAGCTATCAATAGAAATCTGAAACAAAAAAAATTATGAAAGAAATTTGGAATACTTTTTTTTCAAGATATATAAACAAGAAAGTAATAAACTATAATATTAAGTGTAACTGTGGGTAAATTAATCACATGATGGACATGAAGACAGTTAGGAGATCACTGCACTAATGGGTACCAATGTGCCAAATAATCAGCTCGACACTTAAAAAGATACGATAAATATAAAACATTGGCACACAATGACTTTATAAAAATTGCTGTCATGTTTTGGTCTGACTACATCTAACTCCTCCTCAGTATGATCTCACTCCGGCCAACATTCTCCATAAGGAAAAGCGTTAACTCGGTATGCATAACACGCGTGTTCCAACCAACCTAGTCGGTGGAAATTCACCGACCCATTCAGTTTCACTATCTATCATATACGTATCAATTAAGTGGAAAATAGTGAGAAAATTAACTATTGCAGTGAAACTGGACTTAGTTTATCTTTAGTTCACTTATTTATGGATACTAACACGAAAATGTACAATCAGAACTACTAATTCCCTGGTTGACCTCGTTCAATCTGAATATAAGTGTTAACTTCTATTCATAATTTGTAACCCGAACAGTTGCTTTTGTTAACCTCAACCTCCGTATACCATGAGGAGTCAAATCTGTAGGATTTTCTTCTAAACTGTCGGGCTTCAACTGATCGCTCAACGGCAACTGACAGGCGACAGAAGGGCGATTATTAACGAAGGTAGTACACGAACTCTTTTCAGTATTACTGTAGTAAAAGAAGATTACGAGGTTTATTCAGAAGTAGATGTTCTAAATGAAATTATGAAGGATATTCTTCAAGACAATTCAGATAACTACAGCAAATGCTAACCCTGCCACAGTCCGAAACACAATCTCGAAGGACTTAAATACAGCAGGCAACCGTTTCATACCCAGACTGATTCAACGTAGAATAAATCAGATTCAAACTCTGCAGTGACTCGCCTAAAAATCTGCGTAAACTCACTCTTTCTTCTTACACAAATGTGTAAACGATTGTACGATTGTATCTCAACTAACATCTGTGCTACATAGTTTGCCTTAACATTTATTTTCATATCAAACTAACAAGAGCAATAAGTGCTTGTGGTGTGAACATTTTCATAAACGTTTAGCATTTATATTATACACTATTCACATCTTTCATTTTTGTTTAAACCAGATCCTATACTGGAATTATAAAACGAATAAAGCCTTTATTGCGGGCCCTCAGTATTCTCACTTGATCGGTGAATGTTTGATTAACTCATAAACACTACAATTTATTCGTTTTATTATGGACAAGATATTACGTCCCGAACGCTTTGATGCTGATTCCAATTGCCAAACATCTTCGAAGATTTGGAATCATTGGTTTCGTACATTCAATACTTTTATCACTAAATCTTCAACTCCAGATTCAGACAAACTTGATGTTCTCATCAACTATATCTCACCTACTGTATATGAATACATTGCTGAATGTAAAACATTTGACGGCGCTCTTAGTACTCTTGAGAAACTGTATGTCAAACCAAAGAACGAGATTTTTGCTCGACATCTATTATCCACATGCAAACAAGAAACTGGACAGAGCCTCGACCAATTTTTACAAAAACTGAAATCTCTGGCAAAAGATTGTTCATTCAAACCTGTCTCGGCTGAACAAAATCAGAATGATGCAATACGTGACGCATTCATAAGTGGAATGCAATCTAATAATATACGACAACGTCTTCTGGAAAACAAATTACTTGATCTTGATACTGCTTATGAACAAGCTCGATCCCTAGAAATGGCTTATCAACAATCACATTCGTTTCATCCTTCCGAATTCTCCAATTCTGCTGCAATATCAAACAGTGATACATCAAATGAACTAAACTCTTATGTGGGTGAAACAGGATTGACTGCTTCAATAAATGAGAAATGCTACTTCTGTGGATTTACTAGACATCCTCGCTCTAAATGTCCTGCAAGGGATGCAGTATGCAAACTCTGTGGTAAGAAGGGGCATTATCAGAAGGTCTGCCGGTCAAAATCGTACACCAAAACTACATCAGTTACTAGTTCTTTGTTGTCTTCCATGACTCTAGCCGCCGCTCCACAGTCTCTCTCCAATGCGGTTGTGCAGCTTTTTGTAAATGACATTCCCCTACAAGCCCTCGTAGATACTGGGAGCTCAGACAGTTATATTTCTTGTGCAGTCGTTCAAAAACAACATATAAAGGTAGAGCATTCTCGCACTTCAATTACAATGGCTTCCACAAGTCTGACAACTCATACTCATGGTCACTGTTATGTAAATCTACGTTATAAAGACTCGAGTTACTCACATATCAAACTTTCAGTGTTGCCAAATCTGTGTGCTGATGTGCTATTAGGTCATGATTTTTTACGCTTGCATAATAAACTCGAAATTCCATTTGAAGGTAAAAACAATCCATTTTCACTGTGTAATCTTGTTGCTGTTAATTCGTCAGTTGCTCCACATATTGATCCACCTCCCTTGTTTCATAACCTAACACCCAAATGTGTTCCGATCGCTACAAAATCACGAAGACATTCCACTTCAGATGAACATTTCATCAAGCTGGAAATCAAAAATTTACTCAGTGAGCAGATCATCGAACCATCAAACTCCCCTTGGCGCGCCCAAGTTTTGGTCACTACTAATGAACGCCACAAGCGTAGAATGGTGATTGATTACAGCCAAACGATAAATCGTTTCACATTATTGGATGCCTATCCACTCCCAAAAATTGATGAGATGATTGAAAAGATTTCAAAATATACTGTATTTAGCACTTTGGATTTAAAGAGTGCTTACCATCAAATACCCATCAAAGAAGAAGAGAAACTCTTCACAGCTTTTGAAGCTTGCGGCAACCTCTATCAGTTCCGTCGTATTCCCTTTGGTGTCACAAACGGTGTTTCGTGTTTTCAGAGAGTTATCAGTCAGATTATCAGAAATGAAAATCTTCAAGCTACATTTGCTTATTTAGATAATATAACTATTTGTGGTGAAAACACAGAACAACATGCAAAAAATCTTGCCCGGTTCTATGAAGCATCCAGAAAATATGGGCTAACATTCAATGAGAATAAAAGTGTTATTGGCGTTAAACAAGTAAAACTTCTAGGCTATGAAGTTTCTCATAAGATGATCAAACCTGATCCCGATAGACTTCAAGCATTATGGAATTTATCACCTCCACGAGATCTTAAATCCCAACAGCGAGTCATTGGTCTCTTTGCGTATTATTCACAATGGATATCTCATTTCTCCGATAAAATTCAACCCCTTATACAAAATAAAATCTTTCCATTACCAGGTACTATTGTAAGCTCATATGCAGCATTAAAAAATGAACTTGCTCAATCTGTGATGACTACTGTGGATCTCGACTTGCCCCTTATAGTGGAAACCGACGCTTCGGATACTGCTATAGCTGCTACGTTAACACAAAATGGTAGACCCGTTGCATTTTTTTCCAGAACACTATCACCAAGTGAACGGCATCACTCAGCGGTGGAGAAAGAAGCTTATGCCATCGTCGAAGCTATTAGAAAATGGCGTCATTATTTACTTGGTACTCATTTCCAACTCATTACAGACCAACGATCAGTTTCTTTCATGTACGATATGAACCACCATGGGAAAATAAAGAATGACAAGATTCAGCGTTGGCGAATAGAACTTTCTTGTTACAGTTTTGATATAATCTACCGTTGTGGCAAAGAAAACAAAGTCGCCGATGCATTATCTCGCGGATATTCTGCTTCTGTCATGGGTGAAACTAATCTGAAAGACCTACATAACTCTCTGTGCCATCCAGGAGTTGTTCGCCTTCTTCACTTTGTGCGTTCTAAGAACCTACCTTTTTCTGTTGATGATGTGAAGAGGACGATATCTAGTTGTGCAGTTTGTGCTGAGCTGAAACCCAGATTTTGCAAAGTATCCACAGGAAATCTTATTAAAGCGACTTCTCCTTTTGAACGTCTAAATATTGATTTCAAAGGACCTCTTCCTTCAAACTCCCGGAACAAATATCTTCTTACGATAATTGATGAGTACTCTAGATTTCCGTTCGCTTTTCCTTGCCAGGATATGACAGCATCAACTGTTATTAATTGCCTGTGCCAGTTGTTTTCCCTGTTTGGTATGCCATCCTACATACATTCAGACAGAGGATCGTCGTTTATGTCTGCAGAATTAAAACATTTTCTCCACGATAAAGGAATAGTTACCAGTAGAACAACAGCATACAACCCCCAATCAAATGGACAGATTGAACGTCTCAACGGCACTCTCTGGCGATGTATATCACTAGCTGCTAAATCTAGGTCCATACCAATCTGTGAGTGGGAAGTTGTTCTCCCCGACGCTCTTCATTCTATCCGTTCTCTTTTATGTACTGCCACAAATACTACTCCACACGAACGGATGTTCAGGTACAATCGAAAATCAACGTCTGGTGTTTCTCTTCCCAGTTGGTTAACTATTCCTGGACCGGTCTTGATGCGCCGTAATGTACGTTCTAAATATGAATCTCCAGTTGATGAAGTTGAACTGATTGAATGTAATCCCAAGTATGCTCATGTGAGACTTCCAGATGGACGTGAGGAAACAGTATCTATTCATCATCTTGCACCAAAAGAACATATATTTCAATCGCCCGTTAGCATGCCGATTCCAGACGCAGTACCAGAATGCCTCCAAAATCAACTTACTGAAGACGACATATCGAACCGTTCTACAGATACTGAAACTCCTATTTTGACGGACAATTTAAGTGAAAATATCAAAATTGATCCGAACCCATCTTCTTTACTAGAGAAACAACGAAGGGTTCGTCCATACAATCTGAGAAGCCGCGAAGTCTAAACAGTTTTAAAAGTCTTGACTCCTTATGCTCTGTATTCTCAAACAAAAGGGGAGAAGAATGTGGTGTGAACATTTTCATAAACGTTTAGCATTTATATTATACACTA